CCCATGTTGCCATTTCAACACTCATTGGCAGCGATTTCTATGTCTGTAAGTTCTGTAACAACACTGCATTTAGGACACAGAGGCGAGTGTCCGCAGCCAATGAAAATCGTTCTACGGAAAAAGCGGGGGTTTGAAAGCTAAAGATGCGTTCGATTCGAAAACAACCCTACAGACCCACGGAGATTATTTTAGACAGCACAAGAGAAGAAATACTGATCTCAGGAGGGGGGCAGTGTTCCTAGCGCCTCCCTGTCGCAGCCGCCACTGCATGATCTACAGGATGCCAAATTTCTGACATAGTATTTAAAAGTGTGTACATCACAGGCAGAAAGCAATTAAAGATAATATATTAAAGGTAAAAATTAAATAATAATCTAAGTATGAGTCAACGTCACACATTCTAGTGATGCGTCTTTTCCCCTGTGTGGTATTTACATATACTACACAATCAAAAGACTATACATTTTTAAGGTGGAAATTTGAAAAACATTTTCTCACTAGTTCTAATCAACGAGCTGTTAAGTCTTCTTTAATTACTTCCCCACTACCTACAAGTTTTCTTCTCTTTTTAAATATTTCAGCTCTTTTCCTATAAGATACTAATTTAACTATAATAGGGCGACACTTGCCATCAGTCTTAGGTCCTACTATACGGCTCCAATCAATGTCTTCAAGACTTACACCAATATCCCTTGCCACCTCTATTACTTTAGTGTCAGTGTTTTCATTGTTGGACTCACTTATTCCAAAAAAAGCGGAGCGAATTTCTCCGCTGATATTGTTCCAGCTCATCCATTTTGTCCATGACGTCGATGACGCGCTTCTGTTGGTGCCCCGAAGTTTCGAGAGTTCGCCCCGAAGCGCCTCGATAAGACTGGTCGATTTTTTGAATGCTCTCCGTTATGCGGGCAGCAACAGATTCGCTCACTCGAGCAGTTTGACCCATGTCGAGGAAACAGACAAGTATATTCGAAAAATGAAGATAAATAAAATCACACTTAAATCAAATGACAGTTTATACTCGTACAACTAGTTGAAAAGAGCGAAAACACTTGGTTCTAGGCGGCAAGATAGACCGAGTGAAAAACAGGAGTTGATTGAAAAAATTATAAAGTAACAGAAAGAAAAGTAAGGTGTATGCGTGCTTCAGAGGGAGTGTTCGTTCTCCTACCCTCTTCGGCTTATACGTGAATGACGCGCCGCTTCCTGGTGAAACAAGAACTGGTATTCAACGCTGCGGGCTCCTGATGTTCGCGGATGATTTTGCGAACTACGCGAAATCGGCGAACGGATGACAGTCAGTTAAATACTTAAGTGATTGTCTCGCCGCCTTTCCTGAATGGCTAAGTCGGAAACATCTCGCTCTCAACCTCGAGAAATGCATCGCCGTCAACTTCACTCGTAAGAGGGCTAACCCCAATGAAACGGTGAGCTTGGCTGGCACGCATCTACCTTGGCGGAGCGAAGCGAGATATTTGGGCGTGCTACTTGATAGCGGCCTCCGCTGCAATGCGCACGCTCCGTATCTCGCTGCCAAAATTAAAACTCGCCCCCTCCTTTTGAAACCTCTTCTCCGTTCTCTCGACCTCGCAATTCCTCCAAAGCGCCGCTTTTTCACTGCTTGCGTCCGTCCCTTGTGAGGTATTCGCGGCCGCTTCTCCCTCCACTCTGCACCCCATCCGGGTCGCAGAGAACAGAGCGGCGCGCCCGCATTTGCCTCTTATCAGACCCAACCGACCTCCCAAAAACGCTGACGTCTTCAGAATCTTAGGCTTTCGCAAGCAGTTCCCGGCGGAGCTATAAAAGAGGGCGGAGACGGTGCTCGCAAGGGCGCTGAGGCCGTCCGCTCCGCGGATCCTGCGCGAGACCGGCAAAGCGACGAACAGTGGCGTGCACAGGGCCTTCCACAGAAGAAAGGGCCTACAGCACGTCGCCTTCACCTTCCGCGCACTGCCCCCGCACAAGCTCTCTGAGCTCTGCGACGCGGGGGAGTAGCTAGGGCGTGGGAGGCTCGCTCGTTACGGCCCCTCACGGATGCCGGAAACCGCGCGGGCGACGCGGATGCGCGCTCCGCAGGGCCAGCGTCGCTGGAAACCGAAGACGTCGCGGCGCCACTGACGCTTGAGTGAAGTCGGCGCCATGGCGTGCATTTCAGTGTATGTTGTGAAGTGTTGCGTGTTTGTATGAATGAATGCGTTTGTAAATATAAATAAAATATAAGTGTGAAGGGGAGTGAGACCAGAAACAAAATAGAAGAATGAAGAAGAAGAAAATAAGACAATGCAAAGAACTCCAAATTAAATAATTAAAGAAAAAAGTCTAAAAACTAACCCCAAAGCGGGAATGTATATAGATATAAGATAGTTTTAGTTAGTCTGTAAGTAAAAAGCCCACCCTAACTGCACAAGTCAAATCGGCTGCAGTTGAAAATTATGTATTCGGTAAGTGAAATAAACTCCCGCCTCTCTAGAATAACTGCAGAGGGGCAAATCGAAAAAAACATTAAGGTGTATTAAGCAAGAACTTGAACAAAAAATGAGAACAGATAAATTTGACAAAATTTAGAGAATAGCGATTTCTGTGATATAAAAGTAAAATATTGTGAAATCAGATTGTAACTAGTGGTACTACAGGATGGTACAGACTTCCCCCTATTAGTTTTCCATTTGCTTTGGTCTCGAACTTGCCAAATATTCTTGCCAGCTGCCATTTATCGCCACCCGAAGTACATTCTATTTTAAATTTTCTTAATTTTTCGGTTTCCTAATAGTAGAACGGAAATATTATTTTAAGTATGTTAAAGAACAGTACAACCTCATTCCAAATGGCAATTCTCTTTGGAGACATTTTAAAGAAAATGGTGCTTAAGCGCTACTGTAAATTCGAAATTTGAACGTCTTTTTCACAGAAAATTTTTGAGTTTTCGAAAATCTTCATTATACGTTATTTGGAACACATTCACTCAGAAATACAACTTTAAAGAAAGTTTTTCAAACTCTGAAAACTCCGGCTCGAGCCCATGGATAGGGGGTTTCTTCAATTTGAAAAAGAATCAACGCATGGTTTAAGTGTTAGTGGTGTTCACAGACGGACAGACGTTTTGAAAACAACTTTTTCGGTAACAGGGGCCCCCAAAACATGTATTTCCGTTGAAATCTCGAAATAGATTTTCCGCAGCATTACATAACTTTCCCTGTCCTACGTACGTTACGAAAAAGTAAATTTCACGAATACGCAAAAGTAGTAATGAGTCGCCTTATGACCATCGTCGTGTGATGACGTGCCCTGGTCGTGCCGGAGCGCAGGTAAGCGAAATGAGGCTCAGAGCAGGAGTCTGGTGAGCAGCGAGTGATGAAGTTACAGTGAATTCTGGCGGTATATTTCTAGGCAAGTAAACTTATTACTTTCCCGTATACGTACGTATATACGAAGTAATATACTTAGCAAGGGGAAAGTTATGTAATACTGCAGAAAACTTATTTCGAGATTTCAAGGAAAATACACGTTTTGAGGTGCCCTGATTCCGAAATAAGTGTTGTTTTTTACTTTCTTTCTTCAAAACGTCCGTCAGTGAACACGACAATCACCTAAACCATACTAGTATTTTTTCCAAAATGCATATTCAACGGCCAACCTGGCTCGAGTCAAAGTGCTCGGTTTTGAAAATCTTATTCAAAATTTGGGGGTACTAGAGATTTTAAAAATTTTCTCAAAAACGCTCCAATTTTTTTCTTTTATTTTTTTTAAAGAATATAATAAAATATACTTACAAAGGTGGCATAGGTCTGATTTTCACGGATAACTCTGAATTTGCTATTGATTATGGACAGTAATGAATAGGTATATGTCATAATATTTGTATTGTAGTAAGTGTTGTGTTAATGTTATATATTCTGATAAACAACATCATTATTTTCACATTTAATTTATTGAGGTATTGGGATATGTTTCATCAGGTATCTTCACAGCAAAAAACTTAAATTCTTTATTGTATATTAACAATGTGTCACAATCATTCATAATATGAATATACCTTCATAATTGGGTTAATTGAATGATTAAATATATTCAGTGCACTGGAATGTTCAAAATCATGATCACCTTGCCCCACATAGTAGCAGAAATCACACAACACAGTTGCCCATTTGCATTGCAATCTATGACTGAAATGCTCTACAGTTCCTAGACTACTAAACTTCGTTTCAGACATCTAGTGGGACTATATGAAATACAAATAAAATTTAAAATATATATTCTAATTGTTTATTTATAATAATGTGAACATATAAATTTGTGACAGAGAACTGAAATACTATCAGCAAAACAGTATAAATAATTGAATTGTATCGGTTTAAGACACAAGGGGCTGAAGCCTCAAGGCCAAGTGCACCCCTGTTGATGATCACTTTTTATCTTATAAAAACATATGAATGGTAATGTGAGGAAAAAGAAATATGGAGAACAGGATTTTGCAATAATACAGTTACAAAATACACAAAAATAACTTTTATTCAATAAGATTAATAAACGACAAGTACATGATGCATCTCAATGAGTATACTTGTGAAGTGTGTGCATGAATGAACATTCAAAATTACAATATGACTGATGTAAAAACAAAACTGAATAAAACTAAGACCCCATTGTTGGTTCATCATTTTCAAGGATTTGGATTGCTTCGTGAGGGGCAGTATAATGAGCTGGTGAATCGAATTCTGAAAAAACAAAGATACAAGTCACATCACCATCAATAAACTTTTAAGAAATAATTCATGCATTAATTCAAATTATTTGACCAATAATTCCTTTCAAAAATTATTAAATAAAGCATTATCACTGATGCTAATTGGTTTATCATACTAAAAAAAAGCTTAAAGGAATAATTAGTACTAGTTGAACCTGTACAAAAACTCTCCACTTTGTAAACATTGTTTTAGAAGTGAAAATAGCTTCATGGAGAACCTAACTTTACATGATCAGCCATCAGCCCTTAAACAGTACTTTACAGCATTACAGGTCTGTACTGTGCATGAGTAACCATCCTAATATTGCTAAGCATTGAGAATAAACTACATAAAAAAATCAAAGAGTTCCTTCAATTTTATCACAAAAAGAGCATTTTTTTTTTTTTCTTTTTTCTTTTTAATTTGATTCAACATACATTTCAGGTTTCTGCCCGTTTTTGGCCACATATTCTATGGAATAACAGCACCTCCAAGAACTACATCTCAAAAATGTAACAGAAGGTTTACAAAGGTATCTTGAAACCATAATTCGGGCCCCAAATATCCCCTCATTTTCCCGTATGTTGTCCCCCTCCTGCCCCTCATTTCTGTACATATCCCATCTGTCCCTCTCCAAACTAGTTTCACTAATGCTTTCGTTTGAGAATGACTTCACTATGGGGTTTAAATGAAAAGATTTGTGCAAACATTGCAACGGGCATACATTAATAACTAATTCTTGAGTGATTCTTATCCATTGTCTTCTTTCTTAAAACCAACACTGCTGTTTCCATCTGCCTATTATTACACAAGCATTTTATAAAAATGAACTATACACTACTTCCTTTGTGCTATACATAATGTAGTACGTAATTTTAAAAAGATCAGCCACCCCTTCCTTACAAGTTTTACAATTAATAAATGGTTAATAACCAAACTTACAAAATTGTGACGAATTATTCTACAAAATTACAGCATTAAAAAACAGAAAATTTCACCTAAAATTAGAAACCTATTCGGCTTGCAAAACTTTCATCATCCAAATAATGCATAAATGACAATAAACAATATTAAAAAATAAACAAGAAGAATCTACAAAGTATTAACAACTTCAATGTTTTTAAACAATATATAAATAAGAAAAATTCTATTAGCAAACACTCAACCATGCAGACAAACTCCTACCATGTTATCATACAGATTCAAGTCAATTATTGCTCAACAGTAAAAATTCAGGAGTTACCACTACAAGCTACCAAATACAATAATGTTTAAACAGTCTAAATGGAGGAAACTATTGTCTTGAGATGAAAGTATTTCCATGCATAAATATTCAAGGTAATAAAAATGGCTGTTAAAGTACTTCAAACATGTATGATTACCACTTAATAAGGCTACATTTTAAAAAATAATGTCCAAGCATAATACTGCAGACAGGAATATACAAACAATCTGCTAAAAAGTTCCATAATCTTATACCATTCAAACACTATGTACAAGAACAAACCTGGGAGAAACATTTATTTGTCATATAACTTTATGTGATGATTATGTTTGACTTGTCTACACATGTGAATCACAATTACTATAAAAACCATAAAGTAATTAAAGCCTTGATTTTTATGTTAATCACTATAAAATATCATTTTAATAATTTAAAAAGGTTTGAGGGGAAAAGAAGCAAACACACACACACACACACACACACACACACACACACACACACACACACATCATGGTATTTTGGTAAGTGATGTCAATGTTTGAGGAAGAACCACTCTTTTCTTGTATGAAGTTCAGTCAAGAAATAATGTGAGATTCAGTTAATCGTTTAGAAAACTACTTTCATTCCCCCGCAGTATGTTAAAAGCCTTTTTAGGAATCCATTTTACGAAACTAACAGCATTTACATCAACAACTTTTCCTCATTCATCGCCACGTGTTTTAGTAGCCTCCAATAAAACATTAAATTGTTTACAAAGCATGCACTTTAACATTCAAAAAATACAATTAACAACCATTAAATACATTTATACTGTATCAAGCACACTTATATTCTCTGTATAACATGCAGAAATCCAACTGCATCTATACATTGATACATATGTTAGTACATATTATTGCCTTCCTAATTAAGGTATAACATTTTTCTAAGTAATAATGCACTGTAATATAACTGCAGTGAAACTACTTCTAATGGTCACCTCTCAATTATGGACCTATTTCAATTTCCCAACAAAAATATATGATCTTTAATGGCAATAGTACTTCTTGATAAAGGACATTCTCCTTGAGCAACTGCATGGGGTGTTTCCAAATCTTAATATCTTAAATACAATACCATGTTTCTAGGAAAACTGTACCATTTCCATCATTACACTTTTATGTACCTCTCCAGGAAGTATCCCTTTTGTCGAAGTGACAAACTTTCCCTGCTCTAATCTTTCTGGAAAGTGACGTCACTGTAGTTGAAAAGTCCCACATATCTTGTGCGACACTTCTTTTCAGTCTTGAATGGTGAAGTATTCTATTGCAATTTGTTAAGAGTGTGGAGACTAGTTTCTGAGTTTCAAATAACAAAAAATCAAATAAGTTTTAGACAGCTTCACTAATAAGATTGTTGGTGAGGTAGATGCCTTCTCATAATTAAACCAGATACCAGACTACATCTTTTGTTTGTTTTATTAGATAGCTTTCTTTAATGAGGCAATTTCATTGTAAAACCTTGACTAATTTAATATAAATTTTTTGACTTTTAAATAAATTAATAACTTGGAAATTACACATCAAACTTGTCATTGCTATCCTTCTTCCACATGAGTCGTTATTTTCACACATATTCCATTCTGAATTTGGTAAAATTTAAATTTGATGAAGAGTATAGGAATAATTCTTGTCTTTACAATGGCCTGGGACTTGTGCACTCATACTGACACACTGCATGTTATTTAATTATGAATAATTTGTTAGTTTTCCTTAATGATAAACTAGTTTCGTGCGTGTGTTTCTAAACCTGGGACCTGAAACATTGCAACAATTAATCTATTATTTTAATTTCATGATTTGAAATAAAAACTTTGTTTCATTATTTGAGAACTGTTTAAATAGATTATGATTGTCTACCATAAGGAGGCCTCTCAGTTGGGTTTCTTGTCTGTTTGCATCAAATGAGTGAGCAACTTTTCCTTGTGTAAAATTGGTCCTGCTAAGACCCATCCAGAACTATCTCCTATGAGTTATTTGGGTTTATCATATCCTAGATGGCAGGGTGCTGATGTAGCAACTGGGCTGCCTTTCTCATTTCTATATTAGATTTAATGTTTCAATCTTCCCTCCCACACCTGAGGCTACATCATTCATCATGCTCCACTCTTGGACCAACATTAATTTTGATCTATGTAGTCAAAGAACAGTAAAAACTGTTTATGACGTGTGGGGGAGAAGTATCATCTGCACACATTTTCTTCAGCTCCAGAATCTCTTCTCCACATAACATTCGAATTATGAATAAAAGTTTCAAAAGAAGCAGGTAGCAACTTTTGAAAACTAAACATTTTCATCCCCAAATTATAGAAAACTTATTTGCATCAGTAAACAGGCAGCAGATATTATTTTATTTTCGTACATCCACCTCACACCCGGGCTCTACTTCTACCACTACTAGCAAAACGTGAAGCTACATTTATGTTCAGAAGCAAAACAAGGGTCCATGTCTGCATTTGCTCACTGGATCACGGAAATTGGACCAAATATCTGATCGAGATCGAAACCTGATGTACATTACTCGCTTCTTAGAAGTCGCGTGTCAGGCATGGGCACGACCGGAGGAAAATATAGCACTTATGTTCGCACTTTATGCAGCCAGTCGTTTAGGCCTGTGTCACAGAAGCGTTACGTTGATGCCTACGCACGGAAGTCCCTTTACGCGAGTCGTGGATTAACACTGTATCTTATGCGAAACGGACAACAGCAGTCTTGGGGACGTGCATTGTGCCCACAGCTCAAGTTACAACGTAAAGTCATGATAACATAGGACGACCGCTAGGCGACGCGCGTTGGCATGAGCGCTCGTGTGCCCCGATTCGAAAGGGTTACAATGTTAATCTACGACGCGCGTGACATGACTCGTGCGCGCAAGCATCGAAGGATAGTATAGGAATTTATTCTGGACCTTCAGAAAACAACGTATAAATATGAAAAACGTGGAATTGCGAAACGTATAAACGCAGTTTCACTGTAAATCAAAACTATTCTAACGACTGATGAGAAACAATGGTTAAGTATTATATTAGTTTTGTTTCAATACATTTTTATTTTCCCATGCTGTGTCCCATGCACATTTTTATTTTAACATTCAAATTTCTAAAATAAATAAATAAATAAAAAAAATCTATTGAATCAACTTTATTCTTTAATCAATTTTTTGAATTCAGTCTTTCAAAATTCTATTATGCTACATAAAAATTAAATTTTTTAAACATATAGTGTTAATATTTTGCATTACACTGCATCGACTTTCTTAAAGGAAACCAAACATTGTTTTACATGTGAACACACTTCTGAACAGCAGACATGATTTTTACGGGGCAAAAGACTGGGAAATATATTTTAAAAGTTTTTTTATTGTTATGGTTGTCACTAGGCAACAATGTCAAAATAACATATTATTCTGGGTATACTTGTGAATCATTCATGCACATTTTTATTTCAGGCAGCTTTCATGCTGAATTTAATTTTCCACATCATTACAATAAAAAAGTAAACGGGAAAATGGATAGTCCTTTCCTGGGTCTATGGGACCTTCATGCTGACCATAATATCACCATCACAACCAACACCCAAATCACCACCATCAACACCGTGACCTCCAACACCACCACCACCACCACCACCACCACCACCACCACCAATAACATCATTCTCAAGCTCCTCAGTGGTAAAGGCAGAAGCTGTGAGACCAAACGGAATTAACCTGAATGTTATATTTAAAAATACCTAGGAAAGTCAAAAAGTTAATTGCACTTAGTCACAACAATTTATCAGAACGATAATTTAACGAAAATTTGTAGATAGTACTGATTTGGCTCGTCTCAAATTTTGAAATCAGTTTTAAATATTTACAAATCACTTATTAGAAGTAATGAATAGGCCACATCAATTTGCATGGGTGCTGTTTCCATTGAGTACAAGGGCACTTAGTACAATTTACACAATCTTGGCATAATCTCACAGCCCAAGGGACCTGTGATTAACACATCATACTGAAAAACTAAAGAGATCAAAAAAGTATTTGGATGATGGATGATTCAGAATCACAGAAATAGACAATATAAGATCTCATTTAGAGAGTCATGGACTTGAAAAAGGCCAAGATGGTAATGTGGGAACACTATTATTATCTGATTTAATGTGCGTTACAAAGAAATTGTAAAAACTGAATCTCTTGGATTACTGATAGTGGGAAAATATTTTTGAAGTGTAATTTATAAGAAAGGTCAAGCACTCTTTACCCTCTTTTGTTATACAAGAGCAACCAAATTTTGACTCGTCCTTGTATTATGGGGCAACATTTATAACAAATTCAAGTAAAACAAAAACATTCATTAGCAGTTTTTCAAAAACTCAGAAGAAATCAAGAACATAATACTTATTCATACAAAACAATTTATTTACATTTTTGTACACAAAAGATAGAAAACTTACCTTTTGAAATGTTACTATTCTTTGATGATAGATAATACTGCACAATTATATGAAGTACAAACATGACTAGTGATCCAAGTCCATACACCAAGAAGGTAGTATGGCCTCCATATGAATCAAATAGAACTCCTCCAAGTAAACTCCCCAAAGAGACACCTGAAACATTTGTAATAATTTATTCTGTGTAAAACATAACACAAAGCCAAAAGAAGATGAAGAAGATACCAAATCAAATATGTACATAAAAATTATTAATTTGATTGATCTCTCTGTGGTACAAGTCCAAGGCTCTGTGTAGATCACAGAAATCGCAAAAGAGGATGTTCAAAAATAGTAAAAACTCTGAGAAACAGAAAAGCACCAAGTAGTGATGGAATTAGGAATGAGTTATTGAAATATGGGGGCAAAAAAGGTAGACGATCAGCTAACTATATTATTTAATATCATTATCAAGAAAGGCAGAATACATCAGAATGTACAATCAGCATGACCATACCAATCTTTAAAAGAGGAGTGAAGCATAATCCCAAGAACTATACGGTTACATATTACATAATTAAATATAACTCAAAAATTGTTTTCAAAGGTTATATTAGAAAAAATACAACCATTTCTGCAGATAAATGAAGAACAATAAGGATTTCGACCTAATAGATCAACAACAGATGCCATATTTGTGATCTGCCAAGTAGTCGAAAAGGCAATTGAATTTAACATCCCAGACTTTTATGTGTTTATAGATTTAAAGAAAGCGTTCGATCGCATGTTATGTATTCTGGAGATAAGAATATCCCAGAAATATTCACAATGAGAAGACACGAATACAAATATCATCACGAAAGTACAAGTAGGAAACATGGTAACGGACGAAATCAATTGTGCAACTGGTGTTAGACAAGGTGATTCTATCAGTCCTGTGTTTTTTTTACATTCTCGTATACGTACGTATATACGAAGTAATATACGTAGAATAGAAAAAGTTAAGCAATGCTGCGGAAAATCGATTTCGAGATTTCGACGGAAATTTACGTAATGGGATCCCCTGATACCGAAAAAGTGCTTTTTTCAAAACGTCCGTCTGGTGCCTCTGATCACTACTAGCGCCTAAATCATGCCTAGGATTTTCCCCAAATTGAAGAAACGCGGTTCGAGTTGAATCTTTGAGATTATGAAAAAATTCTCTAAAATTTGGGGGTACTTTCCAGGAAGCCCCCCGCATATTTTCAAAAAAAATTCTTTAAATTTCTTGTAAGAATAGAGTAACATAGACTTATAAATGTGGCATAGGTTCGATTTTCACGGTTAACAGTGAATTTTCGAAAATTTCAAAAATATGTTTTCGGTGTCTTCCTACAACTACAACAAAGATAAAGATTTTTCTTTCAAAAAAAATGTTTTTCATAGTAAGTTCTTTCATAAAGATCATGTAAATTTTTAAAAAAATAGTAGTTTTCGCGCAAATTGCGAGCAATATGAGAAATTTTAAAAATTACAAAAACAAGATTTTCTCAAAAACAGCTCCAACGTTTTTCTTTAAACTTTTGGTAGGGGCAGTGCTAAATGTACTTTATAAGATAAACGTCATATTGTTCTATTATTTTGTTTTTTCAAAAATTACGAATATGTAATTTGACTTGCATCTTATGTTAATATTTATATTATCGGTAATGTGTTAACATTATTGTATCTATGAGTACATGCGCTTTAAAAACGTCATATAAAGTTTCCCGAAAACTCAAAAGTTTTCTGTGACAACTACCTCAAATCTCCGCATTTTCAGAAACTCTCAAACATTTTCTTAAAAACGGCTCCAAAGTTTTTCTTCAAACATTTCGAACGGATAGTGCTAATTCCACTCTTTAATATGACGTTAAGTTAATTTCTGGTTTTTTTGTTTGTTTTTTTTTTCAAAAATTACACAATTGTAAATTTTTTGAAAGTTCTCTCATGCCGTAGATTTGCACGTTTCCAGCAATTTTCAAACACGATTGTATTTGTGAGTTAAAATACTAAAAATTACTTCAAAATTAAGTTTTTCGAAAACTCAAAAATGCTCTGTGAAAAAGAGCTTCACATTTCGAATTTACAGTAGTGATTAAACGGCACTTTATTAAAAACGGTTCTAAATGTTTAAAAAAATTGCCATTTAGGACGAGGTTTTACTGTTCTGTAATAATATTTAAATAATATTTACGCTCTAAAATGAGAAAACAGAAAAATTAGGAAAAGTCAACAAAAAAAAGTACTTTGGGCGGCGATAGATGGCAGCAGGCAAGAATATGTGGCAAGGTCGAATAGCTAACAGAGATCAAAGGAAATAGACAACTAATACGGGAAAGTCTGTACCATTATGTAGTACCACTAGAAGTAAAAGAATTCCAATAGTGTGCAGATGATGCAGTACTATTGGCAAATTCAGAAGACGATTCCACAAGCTATGGAAAACTGCATAACAATACCACATGATTATATCATATGAGAAAAGGGGACACAAAGAAGCACGATGGACACTTATAATGAAGTTAAACCGTACGTAATCAAAGGAGCTCGAATATCGGTATATCTAAAATATGTAACCTGGAGAAATAAACTTGGGGTTTTACTTCTTAGTGCGCGAGGCCTTGTTTTCACGACGGTGGTTATTTCCATCATAATCTCACGGTATTTCATGTCTTTCTCGGTTGCGCCACTAGATATCGCACGATCACCAGAATTGCTTGATACGGTCGCGACATGCGACAAGCGGCACGACTGAGAAAGACGCGAAATATGTGAGATATTTCATCGTGACGACAAGGCCTCGCGCGCCAAGAAATAAAAACACAATTATAAGTATCTTAAAACAGAAGTAAAGTAAAAATACATTACAAAACCATAGTAAGATCAGTTATGACTTATTGAGCAGAAACGCAGGCCGATACTAGAATTAAAACTCAACAAAGAACTTCAGACATGCGTACTTTAAGAACAGTAACAGGAAAAAATAAGGTGTAATAGAATAAATAATCAAGATATAAATGAGTGTGGCGTGACGCACATAGTTAAATTTATAAGAACAAGAAGAAAAGGCTGGGATGGACACGTTTCCGAGGGCAGATAATAGAAGGCTGATCAGAATAGCAAGAGATTCAAGATCCCATAAGTAAGAGGGCTCCAGGGAGACCAAAGAAAAGATGGATCGAAAGCTGGTCATCGACTTCTCCTGATTCATCATGAAGGTGATTCAGTGATTTCTTTAGGTGCATTCAACTGAGGATCATTGTGCTTCAAAAAGACAAAATTTGGTACTGATAATACAACAATGCTCAGTAGAATCAGACATATCTCTTCCTTCATAAATGAAGTTTCGATATCTGCTAGTTCTGAAACACTGAGTCACATTCTTGAAGAATGGCTGTAGGTGACATGTAATTTAATAGCATATTCTGATTTACCTGCAAAATTTCCCAGATTTCCCTTGTTGTACCATACTTCTGGGACAAAGACATTTTCCCTTTTCCATTTGATTTTCTCAATTTGAGCAAAGGGCATAAATGAATGTCAATGTACAGGGAAGTGATGATGTATTTCAAAAAATTGTCCTGATGCAATAAGCGAATTTAAAAATTAGGCCATCAAGCTATTCTTGTTTTGCCCTGCACAGTTATCACTGAAGAGAAGTAGGGTTTTAAAATTTTGATTGCAATTGTTGCTGAATTGCAAAAGTCAGAAATTGTGGGGAAAGTATGTGCGGTTATTGCACCACTACTTTCACTATCGAGCATCCACAGAACTTGGATTCTGTCTTCACAATGTGTTAGATAAAATAATTTACTGCACATAGGAATAGAATTTATCCAGTTTTTTATACCAGCACCAGTGGCCTACATTATAAGATTTTCTACCAAAAAATCACTAATTTTTGCCACAGTATAACAATATTTTGTCTGTGCTAGTTAAGTAAATAATATGGTGACAAAGTACAAAAGAGCTTCGTTGGGTGATTTCTGGAGAAAAATACCTAAAAAAGAGTTTATCAAAAAGGCCTGAATTAATTGTTACATGTAAAAGAAAACAAATACAATTGTATTACTTTTTCATACTCAAGAGGTCTTTCAGAATTTTTACTTTCTCACTACCACTTATGCAATTGAGAAAGTTATGAAGTGGTGCGAAAAAAATCGGCGAATTTTCGACAGAAAAACTTATTTCCAAGCCGTGGTAAAGAAAAAGTGGATAAATCCATGTTTCGTGGATCCTTGATACCGAAAACTCGATTGACGGCAAAACGTATGTCTGTGTCTGTCAGTGCCTGTCAGTATCTGTCTGTCAGTGTCTGTGCATGTCTGTCGGTCTGTCTGTGAACAACGCTGCCGGCTAAACCGTTCAGTTGATTTTCTCCAAAATTCATATTCCAAAATCGATCCGGCTGATGTCGCAGCCCTTTGAATTTGAAACCAATATATTAATTTTGGGGCGAACTTTACATGTTTACATGAAGTCCCTAAGACATCTTCAGACAAGTTTTCAAAAAAGGCTCCAAATTTATTGATTACATTTTGTCGTTGGATAGAGTGAAGGACGTTTAAGACAATGGCGGAAGAATCATTTTCGTATAAAACTGTAATTTTTCGAAAATTGCAAAAATTCAAAATCTTTTTGCCGTATTCCGAGAACTACAACTATGAAGAGTTTTTTCATAATAAAAATTTTTCTATAAAAAGAAACAGATCTTCAAATATAGTCATGTTCAATTTTTCGACAATATAAATATTTTTTGCGTGAACTGGAAAAAATTTGAAATAGTAAATTTGAATTTCCCTTTGGTCAAGGTGAAGGTCAAGTCTGTGAAACTAATTTGAGAGGCCCTTGGAGGCAGTTGGATAGTTGAAAATCCCTTCTCATTGGTTAACATAATATTACAAATTGTAGAACATTATGGGCTGAAACATATCTATATTATGTTGCAATATAAATGCTTGTTACATACTAAGCTTTACGAATATTGCGAAGAACATGCTTTCTCGCAATAATTTGCTCGACAACCAAAGAAACATTTGGGGAGTGTTTCATTCAGGACCTACTGAGCATCAGAATTTCTAAGATTGACAAAAATTCTACAATATATCTACATGGATACGCCCAGGAATGGCCAACTTTTATTAATGAAATCTAAAAAAATCAGTTCGTTAAAAAAAGGTATGTACTTGTTTTTAAAAAATTAGTTCTTTGGTGTAATTTTGCATATTATAATTTCCTGTGATCCATTTGCTAGCCTTCAGGAAATATCCAATTGAAGTGCGACAAGAGCCCCGCCAGACAACAGTTGTGGTCCTGTGAATTCCGTCTCATTGTTGGTACATGATTTAAATGTATGAAACAGTTTTAAAATGTTGAATTTGGGTGAGATATTTGCTTGAAAACATTTAGTTTTCACACCTGATGTACTATGATTTATAATGAGTTTTACAAAAAATGATGACTGAGATGTATTAATTCGGACAGAAATTGCAGTACAAAAAGAATTACGTAACAATTACTAAGGGTGAGGAAGGATGTGCTGTTTTAGCACCATGAATTTAAATCCTACTTTTCACTCCAAAGGGGGACATCAGTTTAACATATTGAGATTTCAGAGGAAAGCAATTGACAGAAACACACTCTGCTTTGAGAATTCAGTTTCTATACGATTTACTACCCCTTTTCTCTCAAATAAATATAAAAATATTATACAAAACTTTGTTGAGGACACATTTGAACATAAACAATAATTCTCCAACACATAATCTGTTAAAAATATTAAACACTTTACAGCTAGCTTTTAAGAGCTCCTTTACTGTTCACACTTCCTTAGTTCACTAAGAAAAATCATTTTGCAATACTCCAGCAATGCTGCAGCAATATAAATAAAGAACAAACTCTCATGCGGAACATTTTGAAGAAAAACTTTCGAAAGTAATGAGTGAAATTCTTGTTTACATATTCTATAAGGAATTTTAATTTGTGTTTCTACTCTACTACAAAATGAATACTAAAAAGATTCCATACCAACTCCTTCAAAGAGAGCTCCTACAAGGCCTTGCACTGTAGCTTCAGTTCCTGGAGGAGCAACTATGCTTGCAAAGGAAGCCATCGTGGCATAAAATATGCCAAATGTTATTCCCTGAAATAGCTCTATGGGCAAGCACCACCATGGATTTGTGAGCTGCGAGTATAAAATAAAACGGAGAGCAATACCCAATAAGACGAGCGTCATTGTATGAATGTGTCCAATTTTCTTTAAAATACGCCCTGTAACAGAAAAAAAGACCAATTGAAACTTCAAAAATAGCAGTAGCGTTAGTAGACACAAAAGTAGTTAACAAAAAATATATTACATCGTAATTATAAACATACTACTTTGATATATTACAAACATACCCACACTTCTCTAGAAAATTGCATTTTTGAGGCAATAACATGATAAATGTGACTTGTGATTCCTAGTTTATTTACTTATGCACTATTAGCTATTTACAGTTTTCTAGTGCATGTTCAATTTATTTTATAAGCAATGCCTTGATATAACATGAAGAGAAGTTTTCTGATTCTGAACACAGTCACATAGATCATCAAAACAAACAACTTGTAGTCTAATTAGGTAGATATAACATATTAATGTTGCTTACACCATACAGAATACAAATATTCTACATCCATACCTGACAAAAAGAAAAATGGCAATTCTCCACCAAAGCACTGAATACCCATCACTAGACCTTCAAGTGTCTTAATCCAATCTGAAGTACCACATCCATAATTCTTGGCAAGATCTTCCAAATGC